TTAGACCATCCGGTTTAGGGCTTAGGATATCGAAACGCATGTAGGAGCCGGAATGTCGATAGTATGCCCCAGCCCCTGTTCAATTTATACTTCCTTTCCGCCAGCGTCATAGCTGATACGAGCCATGTAAAGAGCCTAAAGGTCTGGAAGGAAAGAACGACGCCTCCAAGACTCCATCGATCCGTATACAATCCGTATACACAGCCCAGTATGGTGCCATGCATCCGAATAAAGCCCACCAGCTGCTCATTCTAGAGAAGGGCCCAAGTAAGAGTTTGGAGCAGCAGCTGCACCCGAGGCGCGGCTTACGGTGCACCGGGGGCGAAAGGAAACCACTTCGTGGCGAGGCCCAGAAGAAATTGGCCGCACGTCTGCGGGCAAGTACTGTATGGGCGGTTACATAACAAGCAATGTCGAGGGACTTGAACCCTAAACCCCTAATTCAAGAGGATGCTTGAAGTAGTGGAGTTCCATGGCAACCCATGCACAAGACTTATTGAGGAACCTGCAGATTAAAGTTACGAGTTGTGTGCTTCGCTGGCTCTTTCCAGCATCTCAACTTGTTTTTCGCCAGGAAACCCAATTACAGTCACCAGAAGAAGCAAATGTAGAGGCGCTGATGGTTTGAATAGGCTTTCGGGAGGACCCCTTTTAAGGAAACCTAAAGGACCTGAACCCTGTAGTACACACAAGAAGTTCGCCTCTCACCCCCGGGTAGGGCAGAAGCCTTCTCGAGCTCGAGGCCGCAATTAAGGGCTCTTAGTAGAGTTTAGCGTTCAGGGTTAAGGGTTCAGAGTGCAGGGTGCAGAGCTGAAAGGGCTTAGAGTTTAGGGCTTTGTACAGCTCGGTTTGGGGCTTTGGATTATTTCTTATATAAAGTTTGTGGAAGCCCCTCACTTGCCTATCTTTGCCTGGGGTTTAGGCTTCTTTGGGAGGTTCAGAGTTTACGGGCTGAGCTTCCGGACTCGATATTTGGCGTTCACGGTTGTAGGATCTTGAGACGTAAGGGGCCTGCCAAAAGAGCCTTGAAATCCGAGAGGGCTTCTGAAATTGGGGCGATCCCGGGCTGGCCGTCCAACGCGTCAGCCCAGGATTTGAAGACCTGGAGAGATGGGCGCCAGGCCACAAGACGGACTTGGGTGTTTGAGGTTGGGGGTCTAGGGAGATGTTTAGAACCTTCCGGGCTTTGCTACCATGTAGTAATGTGCTTCGAGAGAGAACACAAATCTCGAATTCCTTGGAATAATGCAATTTCAGCACGACGGTTGCGACTGTGTACCTGGCAGGATCTCTGGAAACTACTCCGTCACTGCATCGCTGTTGCTGGTGCAGCCTACCCACCACCGCCAGCTCCATAAACACTTCCCAAGCGACTCCATCCATATCTCAATTGCACGGAGCATGTGTTCAGTTTCGGATTTACTAAGTCAAAGCCAGGGCTGCAAATTTTTCTGAAATGTCCCTTCGGTTTGGTTACGGCTCAGGTTTAACTGACGACTGCATCAGCGGCACCACATGCAGCGCCAAAACACCAAGGTCGTTCGAACCCAGCAGCAGTCCTTCGGCTTAGGGCCGCTCTACGGGTCTCGTCTTGCTGCAAGTGCACCCCACCGCAATTACCACAACAGATTTAACCGTGCGCCTGAGCATTGATTGGCGGCGCTAGGCACCAGGTGCTTGGAGAGCAGTTGTGAAAGGCAGGAGTAGTGGAGATGGTTTGGATGGCCAGGTGGGACTGGATAAGCTCCAATCCTTAAACCCCTTTTACCCCCTGAAACCCAATGCCCTAAACCCCCGAAAAACCTGAACCCTAAAATCTTGGAGGCTTTGCATAGAAGGCTCTGGGATACCTAATGCAAATGTCAAAGTAATCCTACGTAGTGGCCCCTATATAATCCCATTAGATACTATCCTGTACCCTCTAACCCTACTTTAAGAAAATGAGGCCCGATGCTTGGCAAGACAAAGCGACCCTGGATGTCGTTGAAGAGTCGCATCGAAAGCCTGGGGGAGACAGCAAGAAACACAAGGTTTTGGAGGAATTGGGCCTGGAGGATTATGGTTCAGGGCTCGGGCTCGGGCTTGGCTTAGGGTTGGAGTTTGGTTTGGGGTTTGCCCCGGAAGGCGAAAGCATCGTGCGATAATGTCGTCTCGATAAGGGCCTTAATGGTTAGAAGAGGGTTTTGGGGCCCATTATACTATGACTATAACAAGGAAACCCGAAAGTAGTATTGGTATAAGCCCATTATAGTAACGACTGTTTGTGGGAGGTTGTTCTTCGATATGCGCCGACCAAGGTTCCGCTGAAGCACCCCCCAAGCTTTCCAACCTCCCCAGCATAACCCAACCCTTAAACCCTAAACCCTTAGACCAGCTGAAGCCAAGACTCGAAGTAGCAGAGGCCGCAAAGAGACCCGAGCAGAGTGCCTTCTTCAGCCGAGGCCTCGGGGTGAACACGAGAGGAACAACTGCTTAGGGCTTAGGGTTGAGGGTTTAAGGGTTTCGGGCTTGTGCCATGGAGTTTACAGTATTAAGATTCAAGGCTTAATTACAGCCTTCAGAAACCCTTGCTCAGGATGTCTATGGAACCAACCCCGCCTGGCAGGAAGATCAGATTCTGGTGGCCGACGCCGAGGGTTCCAATGTGGCTCGATGTCCGGGTTTCGATCAACCCGAAGCCCTAATGATCGACCCGACTTGGGCAGTTTGCACCTGAAGCCCTGTCTCCAAGTCCTTGAACCGTATGCCCTCTACTTCGACGTACATGGCATAAGTCCAGTCGTCTTAAAGTTTGTCCACGGCAGCCTTGAGAGGCGTAGGATGTAGGGACCTTCGAAACGGTGGTGGCCACACCGAAAACTGCAATTTGCACCGACCCACCATGTGTGAACCGCAACCAAAGGTTCTACAAACAAGGCAGCTAAACGGCTACACCCTCGGCGTCTAAGACCCTCAACTCCATACCTTCACGTCGAAACCCTACACCCTGAACCCTAAACCCCTAATCCCTTACCCCTGAACTCTAAATTTAAAGTCACACTACGAACACAATCCTAAACCGCAATCCTGAAGCCCTCGGTGCGCGGCTTCCGCGATCGCCGGGCAACCCCCGTGGCTACTGCGATCCTCATTTGCCGGAAAGTGAGTTCATCTCAAAGTTTCGGGTTTTTGTTGGGTTTAGGGTTTAATAGACTTTAGGGTTTAGGGGGCTTAGAGGGCAGGGGTTTGTCAAGGAGGGCCTCAACAAGGTGCGACGGATGTACGCAGGATTTCGATTCACTGAAATGCGGACTCATACTTGGGATCGGCGCTGCTTCCGCCATCCCACCTACTGAGCCCTCGGTGCCAAGTTACTTGCCGTCGACAAGCATCATTGCCCCAAAAAGCCCCGAGTCCGACACATCACACATCATAAACCCAAGGTCCTACAACCCATACGCCCCAACCCCAAAAACGGCACCCTAAACCCTGCAAGAAACGTCCAATATAGGTCCCCCGTTAGCACTATGACATAATATATCCAAACAATCCCAAATAGCTATCCTGCCTACTGTTGCTCAACCACGTATAGTACGTATGTATACAAGAGTCCAAAGCGAAAGTCCCAGCAACCATCAGACTAAACCCTAGATCCGGAGATCCAAACGCTTTAGGGTTAGGCTTTAGGGTTCATGGTTTAGGGATACTTCGAAATCCCAAAGGCTGAGCCCCTTTAACCCCAAGCCCCGAGTAGCTTCTGAAGTCCAAGACTGGCACCAAGACAACTGAAACTCATGTCCAAGCATTGATTCTTGCTAGACCAGCTCGAGCCTTAATCCCTCATAGACTAAGCCCGAGACCAAAAACTCTGTCGCAATTTCCAGATCCTAGAATCCTACAGGTCTTACATGCCAAGCCCTTAGATGCCGAATCCGCAAACTTGCACGTTAGATCCTAGATCGTACACCCTAAACTGTAAACCCTGAACCCTATACACTCTAATGTAAGAACCTGGTTAAGAAACCTTGGGCCTTTGTTGGGTTTCCTGATATGATGAATCCTACTGTTTTGGGGTTACAGGCCAGGGTTTCTTCATCAGGTTCCTACATTACACCTTAAACCCCCAGCATCCGAGGGTCAGCGGAGGCAGGCAGCCCCACAGAATTGTCAAGGGATATGCACCTCTCTTCAACCAGCTGAGGGTTTAGGGCATTTTTAACGGCTTACGTAGGGTTTAGGGTTTAGGACTCAGGCTTCTTTTGCTACTGGTGATGCGTAGCGACAAATGCGAGGTTCAGGGTGCAGGGCTCGCGGGGAAGATGAAAGGATGCAGTTAGTGGTTTCGGTGGGACTCGAGTAGTTCTTGGGTTTCAGGTACCGCAATGGCCAGACTGAGGCATGCCTCTGCTGACACATGTCCTTAAGGAGTCACTTTGAAAGGGGTGGTTTAGTGGATCGACCTTCGATTCCAGATGTCTCTGCTTGACACACCGGGAATCACACTGTGACACGCGCCAGGCACAAAGACCAGGCTGATGCGGCATTTACGGATAGTTCCGTATACTTGGGATACGAGTGCACTGCGAATGCCATTCAGCGAGCTCTACTTACAAGAAATCGAAGAAGTGTCCCTGGCGTTTTGAGAGCCGGTCCCCAGCAGCGATGGTAAACATGCGAGACTCTACACAACGTAGACTGCAAGAAATGGGATGCTCGACCAGTGTTGTCAATGCGAGCGTGCTTGGCAGTGCTACATGCTGTTGCAATGCTGCAAGATCATTCCAGAACGTCCACGGGAGGTCTCCTACCTTCAGCACTTCGCTGTTGCACATTAAGCCGCATCTGCGAAAGCTTGTCCCAAAAGAAGGAAGGGTCTCCCTTCCGAAACCCTACATCTTAAGCCACAAACAAACTCGAAAACTGAACTTCGAAAGAACACGAAGCACAACCTGAACCACCATACTATGCTTTGCACAACCAACCCTTGATCTCCTTTCATCACTTTCTTGCTTTGAATTCCGCTATGCGCCCTTTGCATCACTGACATCGGCACCTTGCAGGCCCAGCGCTTTAAAGAAGATGTCCTGCCGTACAAACCAGAAGTTAGCATGGAGGAACTTAGGACTTCAGAACATCACGTCACGGTTTCGGGTCAGGGTGGAGTGTCGTGGGCATGCAGGGGCTTTGAATGCTGAAAGCGTCATGGGGTCATGCTACAACGTGCGACGAAAATGCAGCGAATAAAGATTGCAAGTGCAGATCCACGAAGTGGCAAATGTATCAGGCGAGCCTTGGTTGGCTTCTTTCACCACCACCTCGAAGCCCCCTAAGGCCCTGAAGCAGGCTATGGGGGTGTCTAGACCTAGACTAGACGAGTTTCATATTGGGTTTCTGGGCTTCCAGTGAAACCGCGCAGACGGAAACCGCCCCCAAAGCTAGGACTCTCAACAATCCGAAACATCCCAAGCCCTGGGCTACACCCCCCACATCCTTTCTGAACCCGAAACCCCGCACATCCTAAACTCTATAAATCCAACACCCTAAGCCTAAACCCTAGACACAAATCTTGCCCAGCCGGTCCGGTGAGGACACAGCAAGCAGCACTGGCCCCGCAATGGCCAAGAGGTTCAGGAGGCCTAGCGACCATTGATTCCAGAGTCTCAGTATACAGAGGTCTTAAAAAGAATAATATGTAATTAAAAAGAATAACAAGGTTTTGGGAATGGTATAGACTTTACCCATACTACTACGGTACTAGTCCTTCCGACACCGATTCTTGGAGGTTGTGCGTTCACGGGCTTGAAGTTTGCGGCTGGGGCATTGGACATTTTGTGTTCGAGTTTAGGGTTTAGGTTCCAAGTCATGACTCGTAATCATTCACGCCCTTCAACGACAGACTTTCTGTACCCTGCAAATCTTAAGTACCGGGTATTCAAGACGTTGGGCAAGCTTGAGGACGTAAACTCCGGCTGCTCTCAGGAGCCCTGAGTCGCTCGTAGGTCCTGAAACTTGAAACCGCAAGCTGTGACTTCAAGTTCCCTCATCATGCTGTGGCCTGACTCGCAGCACTATACGAAAGCATCATGCTGCACCCTTGCAACCACAAGCTGAACCTGGAGACCTTTAAATCAACATTACCGGGCCTCCGAAACCTTGAAGCCCTACATGCGTCTCAAAGGGCCTCGCAACCTCCAGGAGTTGCGGCTACCCGGGGCATCGTTGAAGAAGGATTGCAGGCTGAGGTTCGTCCCTACCTGGAGGCACGATGTGAAGGGTGTGGCAGTCAGGGTTGAAACTCGTTAAAGGTCCAGATCTCGTGCTTAGAGTTAGGTTTTTGGGATTCAGGGTTGCAGGTTTGGGCTGAAGGTTTAGGGTTTGGGGTTGCGAGTTTAAGCTTAGGGTCTTGCGCCACACTCTCCAAACACAGTACTGGAGCTTGCACTGGGCATCCCACCACCGTCGTGCTGATCGCACACAGCGAGAGTACCTGCGACGCGGGGACCCCTCGGATCAGCCTTTTCTCTTGTCCACTAAAGGCTGGGCGGGGGCCGCTGAGTTTTAGGGTGGGCAAGTTGGCACGATCCCAAGCCCCTGAGCCCTGAAGGCCCACATCCTGAGCCCCGAAGGCCTTAGCCTAAATTGGGAGCTCCAAAAACCCAAGTCCTGAACCCTGACCCTACACGGCCCTACACCCTGCTCTCAAGCCCGAAAGCTGCAGGGGTCCCCCTAGCTCGGGCTAAAGCTCACGCGATCTCAGGTCTAAAGCTGAGGGGCTTCAAGTGCTCCTGGTGTATATGTTATAAGCGACTCAAGATGCGCGAGGCCGTCTTTCTTATTTTCTGTACCAAAGTCGCCACAACCAAAGCCGAAAACCAAAACGCTTTGTCCGGGTCCGAAACCCTGAAGCCTCTCTCCTCAAGCTCGCACTGCAGATAGGCATGTTAGATAATACGGATCGAATTTTAGAGCCCATGTCAGTTGCGGACAGCGAGAGTCGAAACAAGTGAGAGAGATGTGTTGCACCGCATAAGATCTCGGACGGAGAACCCGAAAAAGAAGAGGTAGCTCACAGGCAAATCTTCTAAGTGTAAATCTGGCAGGCTCGATGGTCGGCGGGCTGATGATTCAATCTTGCTCTTCCCAAGGGAAGCTACCTTTACGCTGGTGCAGTATCTGGTACTCCGCACATGGTCAAGAGGACGACTCCTGACAGCAAGATATGATGGAGTCCCGATGTCAAGGAGAGGTCACGAAGGTGATGCAGAAACTTTATTTAGTCCTCGATTGCCAGGTGAAGTGTTCCGTTGAACTGAAGGAAAACCAAGCAAACTTGCCTCCACTTCTTACAAAGCCCTAACGGGCCCCTAGTTTTCTGCAACCGCCAGATCATGCAGCCTGTGGGCAACCCTGAACCGTACACCCTAAATCCTAAACCCGAAACCGTCAACCCAGAAGCCTTGAAATAAACCCCACAGGAATCGAACCTTGAGCACACCAGAAATGGCGCCGCCAGTTTGTAGCAAGACCTATGCACAAGTGTCTGCTGATGAGGCTTAAGGCCTTAGGGTGTAGGTTTACCTGCCAAGTGCTTCTGGTGGACAGCAAAATCTCCTGTGGCTCTGGAGTTGAGGCCACAGCACCCAAAGACTCTCGCAGTATGTATGCATGCAGGCAGGCATGCAGGGAGGTAGGTATGTATACATGTATCTATTGGTATGCATACACAGGGTGTGTATGTAAGTTAGGCTGTCAACTCAAAATGTTGGATCTGAGGCTCAGTGCCTGGGTTGCCGAAAAGGTTTCTAGGATGTACGGTTCCGCTTCTTTGCATCTCAAAGATCCCTTAATGGGGGTTCCTCTTAGTAGTATAGGGCCCCAACTTAGGGGACCTACTTTCTAAGTGCCCCTGAACCCTCAACTCTAAACCCTGAACCCTCCCCGGCCTTCGGCGAAGGGCTTGCAGTTCGGATGTAAGGAGAGCGGGGTCTCGAGGTTCAAGGGGTTTCGCTACAGTGTAATGAATGCGGTTTCATGCATGGTGAGTCTAGTGGGTGTATATAGAATCATTGCTCTCAGCTTCAATTTGGGATGCAAGTCCTTCGGGCTTAAGGTTGACATAACCCTAAACCCTAAAAAGTTGATCTCGCTGCTTCGGTCTTCCCCACATGCTGAGGTCTTATGGTGTGCGGTCCCCATGCCTCGAACCCTGAACACGACACCAACAAGCGAAACAGCCTGGAGACTAAACATGTGTGACATCTGAAAACCCGACTCAACCGCATGCCTGGCGCCCAAGCCTTAAACTCCACTCTGAGCCGCAAAACCCTACGCTCTGAACCCCACCTTAAACTAAACGCCCTCAGGCCTAAGCCCCCGAACCCCACGACCCAAACCCCTCGCTCTCAAAAGCAAGCCCTAAACCCGCTTTGCCTCAACTGGATCTGACATTGAGCCACCACTCCAGGCGACTAGTCCCATCCCCAGGATAGACCTTGCGGCGCTCTCCGAACGAGTTAAAAGCAGTTTTCTAGGCTTGTTATATGGCGTGTTGCGATAATCTTGCAAGGGCTGTTTGCAAGGGCATCGCAAGAATCGTAGTTCCTCTTCGAGGCTTCCTCAAAGGAGGATATGTTGGTGTCTATATTTGGTTTCTTGGGTTTCAGACAGTTACTAGTCTCTGGTGCCCCGAAACCGTACACCACAAACCCTGACCTGAGACAGGTCTGCTTAAAACTGCAGGGATGCAGGCTCGGCGGAGTCGGGGCTCAGAAGGCGCTTTGAACCCTGAACTCCTTTTCTCGGAGCCACAACACCCCTAAATCACAACACACGCTGGAACACCTCAGAAGCTGAGGGCGCCACCATCCCAGGTTCAGACTCAGGAGGATTAGTGCCTCAACCAGGTTGCTAGCTGGAAGTTTACCTCTGCAAAAGCGCTTTCCTAGTCCGCTTTATGGCTGAGGGCCTTGGCGCTTTCGGGCTTAGGACAGGCTTCATCAGTTTCAATCTTCGCGTCATTGTATCCCTGCTGTGTCTGCTGTATTCATCAATATACACTATATACTATATCAGCAAATCTCATTGAATCGCAGTCCACAAGCTCTCATCCCGACGGCTGACATTGAATCCGAAACGACTCCTGAATCTGCAGGGTTTGGGTTTTGGCCGGGGGGGTTGGGGAAGAGGGGTTTTGGAATATTGAGGAATGAGTGCTAGGGACCCAGTCGCGGCGATCGTATGTGCATGTGCATAGATACACAGTACGTAGCGGGTTAAGGAAGTCAAAGCAATCAGTGGCCTGCTAGAATAATGCAGGTAAAGAACGGAAGTAGACGTAAGACCTTTGCAAAATCTTAGCCTATAGTGTGGAAAGAACAAGCTTCCAAACTCGGGCCTGTAGTGCCATGCTTCCTGTATGCGTATATATATATATGTGTGTATTATCAATGATAATGAGAATGAAACAACTAAGTAATGATATACTACAAAATAAGACAATCAAAATAAAACCAGCCAGAGGGCTCCAACCACCAGGACGCGTCTCGCGCGAGCACGATCGAAGTTCACCGTGCGGCAGACAGTGGGCAGCACCTTCGACTTTTTCGCTTTTTGGTTTTTGGGTTTATAGGGCTTATAGGGACCCGGGAAGCCAACCGTGAGAAAATCTGAAGAGTCCGCACCAGCTTTCGGATTTAAGTATTCAAACCTGTGAGCCTTCGTCATTTTCAGTAGGGTTGTCTCCTTGTGCGTATACATTTCAATTGTGACATATTCTCTGCCACTGTTCTGCTCGTTATGTTCGTCCTTCACATTCGGCTCGTCCTTCTCCGCGTCCACATCCCCCTCCACTCCGTGGTGCCGAACGGTTTTTTGTGTCGGCATGCTGAAGCTGCCCATGTCAGTTCGGAAGAGCACAGGGAAAATGAAGGGATGGAATTCTTCAAAAGTAACATTCGCCAAAAGCACTTCGGTGCTGCACTTTTGCGATTCTGCACTCGTCAATGCTACAAACACAATCCATCCACCCCGCTCAGCGCGATCGTGGTGCAACACTTCGTGGTGCTACGGTGCAAAGGTTCGTGCGCTCCGCAATGTGCCGACTTCATTCCATATCAACGGCTGCACGCTTGTGCCTCGATGAAGCATTTGGCTTGACAGCGATCAACCGCTCAGCCTTGTCTTGTCGCGGGCGGTGCAGTCGCGCAGCCTTGCATATGAGTTAACAACGTGGTTCCCTGGGATCTTCAGACCACTCCCCATGGCCGTTCAGCCAGGGTGTCTGGTAAATAGTGTGGCCGTAGAGGTCGCCCTCTTGCAGCAAGACTACCTGATGTGGCATGGATGCACTGCAGCGGAAGTAGCGGGAGTCGGCGACGTGCATGGGGTCCGCCTCTTCACACCGCTCGCGCAGCGCTTCCCGGAGGTCCGAGGTTGTCAAGAAGAGCTCCGCTCAAAGGTACCTTCATCCAGAGGGTACCCCTGCCCTTCCTCGATTCTGCGAGCTGCGACCTTGACGACATTGATAGCAAACTGTTTGCAACTTTCGACCAATGTCTGCACCCGGGTGTTCAAACTTGCTTGGGAAATGGCCATGATTGATCAAGGTCGTCTGAGGACCAGAAGCGCAACAAAATCCGAAAGGCTGAAAAGGTTTGAGTCAAAATAGGTCCGGGTGCGACTCTCTCTCTCTCTCTCTCTCCCTCTCGCTCTTTCTCTCTGTTTTTTTCGCCAGGGCTGTGGTATAGGGGTGTTACCCTCTCTCTCTCTCTCTCTCTCTCTCTCTCTCTCTCTCTCTCTCTCTCTCTCTCTCTCTCTCTCTCTCTCTCTCTCTCTCTCTCTCTCTCTCTCTCTCTCTCTCTCGCTTGACATAGACTTCAATGAAAGCTGAGATTTCGGGGGTGGTAAGAGGCCAAACGCAGGAAAGGGCCAGATGTTACCTTGCATGTGCACTTTGCTGCGGCGGGAGATGCAGAACTAGCAAAGGCGTGGCGAGCTGAGCCGACCCCAGCTAGCCGTCAGCAAAGCAGAAGCATGCTTCACAAATACTCCGAACCCTCTACAGTCCTCCAGCCTATCGCGGAAACCACACGTGAGTCAGCACAACAGCCGCGCTTGACTTTGGATATATCTGTACAGCACAGTGCAATTTCAAGACTCTAGAAGAGTATCAAGGTTTGGGCTTGCGAGGGCTTTCAGTGCTGGGTGTTCAAAGCACAACAAGGCCTCCAAGAAGATCAAAATTTGCAGCACTGCTGGCATCTGATCAGCACCTGGGGAAGATCTGGAGGTTGGGGGTTCAGGACCTAAGTACTTGCTCTGGCACCCCGATGCTCCCAAAGGAAGATTGGAAACGTCCAAAACTGTCGAGGATCGAGACTCAACCGTTGGACCAACCCGAACCCCCCAACATGGAACAAACTGCTAGAAGTAGGCCTACAAGCCTAATTCCTAAACCGTAAACCCTGAACCCTAATTCCTACAGCCCTAAAGCCCTGAACCGTATAACCCTAAACCCTAAACCGAAGCCGCAAAGAAGATCCCCACCCTGAACTACGGATTTCCGAAGTCTGTGTCCACGGCACAAGCGCCCCAGTCCTCGGGTAGGGAATTGGAACAGGAAGATATCATAGGAGCTTCAATTTTCAAGACGTGGTTTGGGTGTATAATACTCGAGTACCAATATATGCTACAAGGCAAGTAATATTGTTAATGTTTCCGGCTTCAATATTGGGTTGGCGGGTCTGGGTGTTGAACTTCTTCATGCTTCCTAAACCCTAAACCCCAGGCCCTAAACCGTTCAGAAGCCTTTGAAGCTGCAAGCGAGTAAAGGACAACCTAGGATTTGTGCGTAGTGGGACTTTTTGTGGTCCTGATATAAGGTTCTGTCAAAGGAGCCCTGCAGAAAAAATACTGATTACAAATAGCGATGGAGCCCACGAAACCCACCGTAAAAAAGCAATGTTCACACCATGTGAGCAAAACACTGGAAAACCAGAACCCCTTCAGATTTCAAAGAGGGCGATAGGTTCGATGTTTCCCCAAGAGGGACCCTTAGTTGAATCACTACAGCCCGAAACCCTAACTACAAATTTCTACACCCAAGAACCAGAAAGCCCTAGAAAGGTCGAAAACAAAAAGCAACCGGCAGCAATCAGACCTTCGCCAGCCTTGCTCGGACTTTAGAGACTCTCTGTCTCACCTCAAAACAAGAACAAGCCACCACGATCTCACTCGACCATCTTTGGTTTATGCATTGCAAATTGGGGGTGGCCTCAGGCTCGGGGCTTGGGGCTGCATAGCTGCTGTAGAATACGACTTCGGTGTATCTCTTCTCTGCGAATATAATCATCTGGGGCCTTTCGCGGGAGATTATTAGTATGCAATGATTGGAGGAAGGACCATAAGGGGATACTGGTACGAATGCGCCCTACCGCTGATTAAGCACACCTGAACCCAAACACCACAAGCCCCCTAAACCCTAAACCCCTAAACCCCAAACCCCTAAACCCTAGAACCCTAAACCCCTAAACCTTCTTCACGACGAGTCTCGCAGCGAGTCAGCCGATCCCACTGCATTAGCGGAGCTCCGACGGTGAAGAGAGCAGAAACGGCGGCCATGAAGCCGACCTGGCCATACACAAATCCTTCAACAAAAAAGAGAGGTTGGTTTAGGGTCCTTACGGAAAGGTTTAGGGTTTAGGGGTTAGGGTCTAGGGTTTAGGGCTTTAGGGGTTAGGGAGGATGGTTTAAGGAAGAGTGCAATAGGATATGAGCTTCAGCAATTTGGGGACCCAGACGAGGCCCCATGGAGCAGAATCCTCATTATAGGGTCCCCGTGATAAGCTTCCTGCTGCCCTTCAAGAAACACCCATATCCTAAACCCTAAACCCTGAACCCTTAAACCCTAAACCTTTAAACCCTAAACCCTTAAACCCTAAACCCTTAAACCCTAAACCCTTAAACCCTAAACCCTTAAACCCTAAAAACCCTTAAACCCTTAAACCCTAAACCCTATATCCTATCTGCCGGGTGGCACTCTGCAACCCGTAGACACACGATCCTCTCGCCCTAAACCCTAAACCCGAGGTCTCCTAGAAATCCTAAGTACTGCAAGTACCTTAAGATAGAGGCCTAAATAATTACCTAGACTATTTTACTGGTTCCTCATCATAATATATATATATATATATGTATATATATATATATACAATGGGTCCCAAGACCGTATTCTAGTTATTTAAGGCCCCTTATTAAGTACCTTAGGTACCCTGAACCCTAAACCCTAAGTACCCTAAACCCTCTGCCGAGTGGCAGTCAACATCGTGTTTGCACAGGTCACCACCCTGGCAGGTCCCAGCTGGGCGAAACCTCGCAGCGCAGTTTCCCAGGTGCCGTTTGAAACCGGTAAGTATAGAGGCTTTAATAATTAGAATAGGGCTTGGGGCCCATCATACTATACTGATAATAAGGAACAAACCCCCAAAATAGTATGGTAACTATTGCGGCCCCTGCAGTAAGCAGAGTTTCTGTGCTTTGCGGGGTCTCGAAAGAATACACCCTTGCGCCAACTATTGAAGGCTCAGGGGCAAAGGTGTGGGGTTTAGGGCATCTATGAGCCAAAACTTGAGGTATTCTATCAGTTGTTTGATTCAGTCGTATCAGGTCAAGGATATATGAAACCCTATACCCTAAACCCAAGCCCTATAGAACCCCTTCTGGAATCCCCAAATTCAGCCCCTTGCAGGGCCCTGTATAGAACCCTAAACCCCGAACCAATATCGGGGGATCCTGACCCTGTCTTGGAACGACTACTACCAACACTCAGGCCCGACATTACGACCTTAAGGCAGAGTTCGCGGTCAAAGCCGAACCGTATACCTTAAACTCGCCACCGAAACAACAAGTTTCGGGATCCAAAAGTCTCAAATCCTAAATGCGTGCATGCAGCCTGAATCCGCATGAAAGTGAAATCTGGAAACCTGAGCTTATAACGCAAACATCTGCAGCAAAGCGAAGACCCGAATATGGGAACCTGACTGAGAAACCCTGGATCTTTGAGAGGGCTCTTTATATTAGCCCTAATCATCTAATTAATGAACATTTTGGGGTGATCGGGCCAGGGCTTGTTCATCAGCTTCCCACATTATTCCGATACTTCAGGCCACAGCGCCCCCTTTGCAAAAACCCTGAGCCTTTAACATCGTCTCTACTCCAACTTGGGCGATGACCGGAGAGCCCCGCTGCAACCAGGAGAACTCCAGCCGCGTACGGGAGATGAAGCCTCAAGCCCGTCAGTTTGGGATCTAGGAAGGTCGGGTTCAGGTCCGGCTGAGGGTTTCAGATGTATGGTCGGATTGAAGGCTCGTTGTGTACTAAAGGCATTTGGGTGTCGGTTGCTCGTCACGCTTTGGCCTGCATCCATACTGCACAAGCTTCCAAGTCGACTGAGGCATTTTTGTCATTGTTCGGCTATTGTCCTTGTTCGGCTAACCCAAAAGCATGAGATGCATAAGCCCGACAACGACAGGAAGGGCAGCCGGATTCCCTTGCCGTCCCCGTCCGCATCCTCCCATTGCAACAGCGGCAACTGCAATTTCATCATGTTAATGATAACAGAGCACATTCATCATCACAATCATGAGCATAATGACAACCAAAATCATCATCATCGTCATCACCAGCACTTATCAGCATAATCGACAACACCCTCATCATCGCCATCGTCAGGATCATCATGACCGCCCAAGTGGGCATTGTGCAAGCAACTGTCGAGCCGTGTTTGGTTTGTGCTTGAGTGCATGATGGTAGCACTTCTTTGGTGTTGGTGTTTTGCAGGCAACCTCGCGTCTGACTGTGCGTAGAGCGGTGGCAGCTATGATCCTGGAAACAGTTCTAATCTTTGTGCTGTTCAGTGGGGCATCCAGAGGCTACGACCATGCCAGGAGCAAGAAGAATAATGATTTCAGCATGAGGCTGAGGCTGCTTCTGCATCATGCGTGCGTTACATTCAGCGTTACTCGGCAACTATGTACTGCTGTTGTGACTCGTGCTTGTAGTGAATTTGCTGAGTACTCCTACTCCTACTCCTACCAGCGGTAGTAGTCACAACAGTAACAACACCAGCACTGGAATAGTCGCAGTAGAAAGTACTAAGCTGGCAGCGTGACAGGATAACAGTCGAGGAGCATCGAAGCCAGAAGCTCGCCACCTTTGGCAAACTGGGAGACGTGCGTCAACCTGACACTTCAGGAAACTTTTGAGCTTAAGACTTCTATCAACCGCTTTCTGATGAAACTGATTTGGCACAGAAGTTGGGAGTTGGGCGGGATTTCGGGGTCTGAAGATTTCATTGCATGCAAAGAGAACAGGATTTTAGCCTGCATGCGGCCGCGACTACTCCCAAAACATAGCTTGAAGACAAACTCCAAATCCGTCGCCTTAAGTGATTCACGAGCCTCAATAAAATGCAAGGACGAGCCCCCTCCTTCTTACGTGGAGAGTTGGCTGAAACCTGACCGTATGACCTAGACCCAAGTCCTGGACGGATTTCCACAGTGGCTTTCCACAAAACTCAAAACCTTCGTCAAATCTTCAAACCACCATTGACCATGGACCCTCAGAGCCCGCAACTCGACCCCAAACAAAAGCGACCCCTAAACCCTACAAGCCCTAAACCAAAACCAGACTAACATGAACCCTGAACCCTAAACAAAAGCAAAAGCATACGAAAAACCTACCAAGCGGCAGCATCAGCATGAGGAACAAGCCGCAGACGCCAGCAGCACCCATTGGCCCGAAAGTCCTGAAAGCCCACAACTTCCCATCGTTGAGAAACGGATCCAGAAAGGGTTCTATATACTAGGGTTGAGGGTTTAGTAGGGTTTAGGGTAGGGTTTAGGAAGACTTTGGGTTTAGGGTTTAGGGTTGAGCGTTTAGGGTAGGGTTTAGGGTTCAGAGCTTTACCAAAGATGTAAAACAGGATCGAAAAGGGTAAATGCTACAATCCCAACTCCCCCATCCACAAAAACCCTAAGAAGCCCAAACACACTCGAAGCAAAAGAACGCTAATGAACACAAACTCCTCAATGTCCTACTGCCCTCATCACAATACAGAAAAAACTAATGAACGAACAAAAAAAGCAGGCGATTAACCAACACAACAAACATCGGATAGTGCCAGGGCTCTCTCCGGCCACTGTGGCAAAGCTGACGGGCCGCCCAGCTTTCTTCGAGGCGCTGATGATCACGTCCACGACGATGAATGCCCTCGGAAAGTCTCAAAGTGCTTACGAGGGCTTTAGCAAGGCTTCTATAAGGGTTCCTACGATTTCTAAGGATTTAGGGTTGAAGGGCTGCTTCGAGGTTTAGTGGTTCGAGGTTTAGGGAGTTAGAAAATATCATTTGGGTCTAAGATTTTCGGACTAGCTATGTTCATGTCTATGTACCAGCATCTTTGGTTGCACGTCAGACAGGGTCTTCCCTTAGAAAGCCCAAGCCCCCAACCCTTCATCCTTATGCTTGCCATGGAAACACCGCATGGCAATCCATACACCAACCCAAGCGCTGACACGCAAGCCCTGAACCCTCTACGAGCAAGCCCTGAACCCTCTTAAACTCCAGAACCTTGAACCCTATAACCCTCCACCTTAATCCTAAACGCTGCAGAGAACGTCCCTACTGCAAAGCCTGAAAACCCCGAACTCTGCACAGACAGGCTTTGAGTAAATGGAGCAGGGCTCCGGATTTGGAGTTCTGCGAAAATCAAAGGCAAAAAATGGGACCCACACTGCAGCACGCGATTACTACTCACTACTCAGCCCTCTTAACCCTAAACCAATAAACAAAGCCTCAAACCCCAACCCCAAACCCTGAACTAAGGAGACTCTGCTGAGTCTTCGCCCCACCGCTGACATTGAGCACGATTGGCGTGGGAAGGTTTTGCTGATGGGGTTAACGTGTTGGGGTACAAAACCTCTAAACCCTAAACCCCTAATCCCCGACAGCCCAAACATGGAACGGCTCTCTCTGAGCATCCGGCTGCGCAAGGATGAAACTCCAGAGCCCAACCATCCTTGAGGTTTATGTATGTAACACAGGGTTCGTGGTTTAAGGCTTATGCTTAGCGTTTAGGGCTTACAGGGCCTAGGGTTTACGGGTTCAGGCTTCAGCGTTTGGGGCTTCAGGTTCCGGATTTAGGTCAACGACTAGCGGCTTAGCAGGTTAGCGTTTCAGATTTAAGGCTCCAGGTTTTGGGTTTAAGGTCTGGGAGGGCATGAACCCGCTTTGGAGTCCTGTGGGCTCTCTTGTCAGGATCTTAACGGAACTCGGGTGGATGTATCTGTCAACGCGGAAAAAGAGGGACCCTTAATGGGAACCCCTACCTTACAATGGGCTATATAATGGGTATATAATAGCTATATTAAGGGTATATACCTAGGGGTGCTGATTAAGGGTCCCTCCTTAATCTGGCTCTCGGGCTTGAGGTTCAGACTTTGGAGTCTAGGTTCAGAGCTCAGGGTTTCCGGGCTCAGGGCTCAGCCAGCACCCTGCCGTGTTCGGGCTTCGGGACCGGAAAGGAATCGGAATCCGTACTAATGAGATCCCCTTGAAGTCCCGAGATCGCTACACTTCCCAACCAAAAAGAAACGCTCCTGAATTCGATCTTCAGGGATCCCAAACCTGAGCACCCTCACCCAGGAACCGCGAGTCCTGCAACGGTCTTTAAAGCGTGACCACGCTCTCGAAGATGCGATGCTCTACCGGTGTCCAGGATTCACACCGACAACCATCCGCAAACCGTCTGTTCTTAAGACCGCACCGGGGACCGAGAGCTGCCACAGCTGCCAAGAGTCAGCAAGGAGGATGGCAAGCATCCTCCCGTGTTAGGGTGCAGGGCTTTAGGATATTATGTTCGAATATGTCATCGTCTACTGTATTATGCTATAGTATACTACAGCAAAATCTTATGAAATCTTCGGTACATGGCTACTCTTGCGGGCTCGTCGAGGTTCAGCGTGTGGGGCACCCGAAGCCCCGGACCAGAAACTTCACAAGAGGGTCCCACATAATTAGATTCGTTTTCATTTAGAATATAATTTATAGACCCTATAAACCCTAAAATCTCAATCCTTAAACCCTGCCCTGAAGAGCCTGAAGCCCAAAATCCCAAAGCTGGAAGACTTGGATGCGCACAACTGTAGCTCACCCTACTTGAGGCATGAACGGGATTTAGGCCTCAAGGGGCCTTGTGGCATTCAGAACTGAGCCTGTGTAATAGCTAAAGCCGCCAGGATGGGCTTAATGGCAGCACTCCTGTATGATGACCCTGCTTTTGTCTCGTAAGCTCAACTTCAGTTCTCTCAACTGGCACCCTATGGCGCTGTGGGCTTTCGCAATTTTATATCCTGGACCCCCAAAAAACCCGAAAGTCAACAAAAGTCGAAGCACCCCTACCGACTGCGGCCTGCTGCTGCCGTGGTGTAGGGAACTGCTAGGAAGCCGCCTGGCGTCCCACCGACGGAGACTTGAAGTTTAGATCTTAGAGATGCGTATTTTGTATTTTGGTGTTCGGGTTTGGGGCTCTCGGGCTGAAGCTGTACCGGGCACGGGCAAAAAAAAGATACCAAACACCTATATAGGAGCGCGCGAGTCCCTTGCTGCTGAAAGGTGGAAACTTGAAACACTCCTTACAGGACTGAGTCGGGTTTAGAATCTAAGGCTGAAGCGTCAGGTCTGAGGTTCTCGAGCTTTTAGTTTTGGCTTCGAGGTTTAAGGTTTAGGGTTTGGGGTTTAAGGCTCAGGGTTTAGTGCTTAGGGGTCTTACGTTTCTGTAGGGTCTTTGTTTGAGCCGGCCGTCTGGCTGGCTTCGTCGGGGCCTGCTGTCTCACCAACGCACGGAGGATCATCCTAACAACTCGAAGTCCCGAAATCTACAAGTAGAAGCCATATAAGATCTTTACAAGAGCTTTGTTGAAAGAACCCTCTCTTATACGACCGCTGTAGGAGCTCTAGGGAACCCAAGCTTCGAGCTGAGGGTTGAGGGCTATAGACATTCAGATTCAGAACCTTTCAGCCTTAGCAATATATGGAGGCTCGCAGAATTAGAATCAAGCAGATTTTGGGGCATGTGAAACACGAAAGAAAAAGGGAAGCCTCCACAATCTGCATCAAATTCTTTCAGGCTGCTGTATTGGGTCAGCGGGACAACATGGGAACTAGAGGCCTAGACCCTAAGCCCGACTGTTCTCCGGTGACTGCCGAAAGGGCCTCCGACACCGGTTCCCACAACCAGCGCCGACGCAAAGATATCGTCGAGCTTCCATTTCGTGTCCGTCTTTTGCCTTCGGATTTCAGGCTGGAAGGGTTAGGGAAAAGGGTTCCTACGGCTTGAGGGCTTTAGGATTTGATTCAACGGTTCAGGGCCTGGTGTGCAGAAGGTGCTTCAAGCCCGAAAGGGTCTTGAACAGTATATTCGGTGGTCGGCATCTCACGCCTCAGGTTCTGCTTTGCGGAGGCTCTGCCTTAAAGGGCCTTGGGAGCCAACGCCCAGGGCATAAGAGGGTTGAAGACCGACGGTTAGGGTTTCAGCCCTGGGGCAATGGGAACAGAGTTGTAGGTCCCTGTCAGATCCTGCAGCACAGTCGCACAAAGCTTAGGCTCTAATCCTGCCCAGCACAAGGATGGAAAATGCATGTAATGAGGGACCATAATGATTCGGATAGGGGTTTGGGGTATACTATGCTATAGTTAGGGATACGGACCCCCCCCCTCCGAAACAAAAATGGTATAGGTTCTTCAGTGTTCAAGGCTAAGGACTCCAGGTCTGGGGATTCCCGGTTCGAGCCTTGTCAGCACGGCGCTTGTGCTGGATCTGACGGGCCGCACCTTGCGGCTTTGACTTTAAAGGGGCGAACCTAACTCCCGGGTGACGGAGGCTAGATTATAGATCCCACAGGGTCCAGGATCTGGAATGCGAAAAGTCCTAATCAGCAAACTCTAATCTGAAATCCCCGCAAATCCCGGGACCCTGATCCCTCAGCCCTTACAATCCCTCACAGTACGTAAACTGCGCTCACCCCCGAACCCCCCAGCTTCGGGACTGTTCTTCCCTAATTGTGAATCCCAAAGTGAGAGCATGGCCCATCATGGCCCATGCACAAGGATGACACACACGTGCCGAGAAAGAGAAGATTAGCAGATTAGCATGGCCTCTGCAATGCACTTGGCTCAAGTCCGATAACGCAAGAAAAGAGCTGCCGTGACTTCTAGTTTCACATTGGTAGCGGAGCCTCGGGACCGTTCCTGGGGCATGCAGGTCTTCTCATGGTCCGTGCACTGTGTTCTGTGCCGTCGTGCACTTCTTTGTTGTCTTCGTCTACATGCTGTGCTATGAGGCGAACTTCTTGTTCTATGCCATCGTGTACTTCTCTGTCGTCTCCGTCTGCATACTGTGCTATGCGGCGGGCTTCTTGTTTGGTGCCGTCGTGCACTTCTTTCGTCTTCTCCGTCTACATGCTGTGCTATGAGGCGGACTTGTTGTTTGGTGCCGTCGCGCACTGCTTCGTTCCTCGGTCTACATACTGTGCTATGAGGCGGACTTCCAGTTTGGTGCCGTCGCGCGCTTCTTCGTCTTCTCCGCCTACATACTGTGCCCTGAGGCGGACTTGCTGTTCGGTGTCGTTTCGACTGCTTCGTCGTTCCCGTCTGTATGCTGTGCTACGGTGGACTTGTGCAAACATTCCTCGACTACTACACCCTCCACTTCAACATTGCCGATGACCACACCTTCGGCAACATCATCGTCTACCATATCCTCTACATCTAAATATTCGGCGACAATGTCTTCTACAGCAACCTCTTCTTCTACCATGACCTGTACATCAACATTACTGACGACTACATCTTCTGAACCAACCTCATTGACCACAGTGTCCTCTACGTCAACGTCTTCGCCGACGGCATCCTCTGCATCGACATCGTCAGCTACCGGTCTTCTACATCGATATTTTGATGGGCACATCTTCTACATCAACATCTCCAAGTCGCACGTCCCCTACATCAACATTGCTGACGGCCACGCGTTCTACAACAACATGATCGACTACGACATCCTCCGCATCAATGTGTCCGCCGACCACACCGTCTACACCAACCTCCTCGCCTACCACATCCTCTACATCAACATTCTGGCGGTTTCTACTTCTACATTCATATTATCCACTACCGCGCCCGCTGCATCAACATGTTCGCCGAGCACCTCTACATCGACATCGTCGACTACCACATCCTCTACACCAACAACGTTGACAACGACACCTTCTACATCCACATCTTTGACTTCCACGTTCTCTACATCAACATGTCCGCCGAACACCTCTACATCGACATCGTCGACTACCACATCCTCTACACCAACAACGTTGACAACGACACCTTCTACATCCACATCTTTGACTTCCACGTTCTCTACATCAACATGTTCGCCGAGCACCTCTACATCGACATCGTCGACTACCACATCCTCCACATTATTTTGGATGGGCACATCTTCTACATCAGCATCGTGGGCTACCACATCCTCTGCTCCGCCATTTTCGGTGGCCGCATCTACTACATCAACATGCTCGACGACCACATCGTCCACGTCCACATCAACATCATTGCCGACCATATCTGACACATCAATAAGCTCGACGGCCACATCTTCTACATCAGCATCGGCGACTACCACACCGTCTACATCAGCATCGTTGACGGCCACTGCTTCTACGTCCACATCATCGACTACCACGTCCTCTACATCATCATGTTCGCCGACCACGCCTTCTACATCAGCATCGTCGACTATTGCACCCTCTACATCAGCGTCGCTGATGGCCACATCTTCTACATCCACATCATCGACTACCACTTTCTCTACATCAACATGTTCGTCAACCACCGTGGACTACAACGTCCTCCACGTCAACATTTCTGACGACCACACCTGCTACCTCCACATCTACATCATCGACTACCCCATCCTCGACATCAGTGTCTTCGCCAACGACATCTTCAACATCGACACCGTCGGCTACCATCTCTTCTACATAATTACATTCGATGGCTACATGTTCTACGCCAACATCAAGGCCCACGACATCTTCTACACCAACCCCCTCGACGACACATCTTCTACATCAGCGTCATCGACTACCGGGACCTGTACATCATCATCGACGAGCACAGCTTCCACGTCAACATCATCGACCACAAGATCAACATCATCATCTCCACCGGCCGCATCCATCAGTCCCCTATCAGTGCCCTTTACGGCAAGATCCCTCGTCGACCACATGGTGTATGACAGCTCCCCACCTCTGCAGTCACCGTCCACCATCAACGGCCGCATCCTTTACACGTCTTCTACCACAAACTACATCCCCAGCGAGATCCTCCACGAAAGCACGTTCCACGACAACAGTCTCTACAACGACATCCTCTATGACGAGATCTACCACAACTGCAGCTTCTACGACAACGCATCTTCGTAATCTTCGTTTACGGCAACATGCACAATGCCCTCCTTTATGCAAACTCCCCTCTATACCAACATCTTCACTGACGGCGTCCTGTATAGCACCTTGCCGCGCCACCACTTTTTCAATGACGACACCGTCTGTGGCATTATCTTCCGCGACTACAGCATCCTCTACGACCACACCTTCTACGTCGATATCGGGCTGGAGGACTACATTGACTACATCCTGCATGACGTCATTGTCTACGACGAGTATGCCGGCATCTCACAACCTACCTCCTACATTTCATTTACCCTTGCGGCCATGTCCTCCGCCACGTCATGCTCCACCCTGACAAGCACGTCTTCCAAATCAAGACTTGCCATGACCTTGTCGACCAAGCCGCGGTCCATCGTTGTCTTTTCTTCGCCGACGTCGTCCAGAAACACATCCTATAGGACATCAGAGGATACAACTACATCTCCTTTGACAGCACTGTCTGCTGCCACATCTTCATGGCCAGCATCGTGTGTGGCAATGCTTCCGGCAACTACAAGTGCTGTGACGCCATTCTTGGCCAGATTCCTCTACGGCAATATCTTGGACGGCCGCATCGTCTGCCACAACTTCCTCTGCGACTTTGGCGTTTACGACCTCCTTTGTGGCCACGTCCTCTACAAGTACGGCCTCGAGGACAAGGGGCGGCCGCAGCAGCCTCGACAACCGCGAGGCGGCACTTGCGCGGAGCGTCTGCGGAACGGGCTGCCAGAGCTTTACGGATATCCGTTTCGTGCTGACCGTGCTCTTCATGGTCAGTGTGTGGCGACAAGCCCCGCCGTAGCCTCCAAAAAATTGGAGTTGTTTTTGAACCAGTGTGAATCCCAAAGTGAGAGCATGGCCCATCATGGCCCATGCACAAGGATGACACACACGTGCCGAGAAAGAGAAGACTGCAGATTAGCATGGCCTCTGCAATGCACTTGGCTCAAGTCCGATAACGCAAGAAAAGAGCTGCCGTGACTTCTAGTTTCACACTAATCCCTGGACCCCATCCGCCGAAGGCCCAGGCCCGACTTTGCCAGGCGAGCTCATTCCTCCAGCGGGCAGTCGGCAACCTTGGACAAAGCGTCGGGGCTCTAACCTCAAGATCGCTCCACCCTTGACACTGATTGAACTAAACCGTATTCTGATGATAAAGGCCCCAAACGACCTTGCCCTTTGAGAACCCGAGTAGAACAGGTTGGGCTTTAGGTTTTGGGGCTTAGGGTTCAGGGCTTAATCAGGCCCTCCGTGTTTCAGAAACTTACACCAACATGGACCCAACAGCTCAAATCTCTCAAGCCCTACACCCGAAAACACTGAACCCCCGAAACCCAGACGGCGATTCCCTAACCCTCATGCCTCCTTCCCCCTAGCAACCTTTGACATGAACCTCCCTTCGCTGAGGCCCAGTCCCGGGACTTGGCAGCTGCAATGGCGGTGCCCGGAATCCCAGCGAAGGCCTGGTAGGGCCGAGCCCAGGGGCCTTTAGTAGTTAGAAGTAGAGTAGAGCCTCGGGGGTACGAGTATGACTAGGCGGGAACTTCAAGGGGATACTAGTTTACTAGTCCTTTCCCTTCCGACCCCTATCTTAAGGGCTTCCAGCCTGGAGTCTGGAGGATTCGGGCTTTCAAGGGCTTGGGTCCGTTAAGGGCTGAAGGTTTGGGATCGAGGATTTTCGGGCTTGGCTTGAACGAGCATGCCATATGAATCCTGTGGCTGAGGGTGCTTCTCGGGTCCAAGATGTGTAAGGGTCATTATAGTTATTACCAATACTATTTCGGGGGGTTCCTCGTTGTAAGTACAGTGTAGTATACCCCAAAACCCTATGCTACTTATAAAGGCCCTTGTGGCTTCTGGCGGTAATGCTTAGGACTTCTGGCCTCAAATGCTGCATCCTGTGCCAAAGCGTAAGCGAATTGAGTCAAAAACCACTTCCTCAGCTAATCCAGGGTCGGCCACCAACTCAAAGCTTCACCCCGCCCAACAAAATCGAAGATCGGAGCTTCTGTGCCAGATGTATTTGCAACAACCCGTGGAGCCTCATGCCTTGCGCTTTCTACGCCTCCCCGTCAAGGGCCATCATCCCTTCTCTCGTGCTTCGGAATTTAGTCTAGGATCAGGAACCCGAACACCTAAACCCAACACTCCCTAAACCCATAACCCTCAGACCCTAAACCCTAAACCCGAAAGGGTTTCGGTTCAGTGACGTAGCAGAAACCCTAAACCCTCGGGCCCGACGCCTGTGCAGAGAGCTTGGCGTCCTCTGCAGGAGGCAAGGCCTCGAGTGCTGAAGCTGCAAGATCTACAAGGTCTTATGCTTTTTCTTTAAGTGCAATGGGGCCTTTTCTCGCAGAAGGACGGTGTAGGGTTCGGGGTTTAGGCTTTCAGGTGTAGGGTTTAGGGTTTAGGCTTCGGGGGGTTGGGGTGCTGAGTTTATTGGGTATTGGGCTATAGGTTCAGAGCTGCGCAGAGGCCATGCATACCCATTCAGACATTTGAATTTCTTCGTCTCCACGTATATGTTTAAATTTAGTTGGTTGGTTGGATAGTTACTGAGGTTGGTTAATTAGTCTGTCTGTTTGTCATCGCTAGCCAGCTGGACAGCTGGCTAGATAGTTAGCTGCTTAGATTAGTCAGTTAGATATCAGTCAGTCAGTCTGTCCGTCAGTCAGTCGGTCAGTTAGGTAGTTAGTTACAACACGAATGAAAGAAGAACTACTTAATTCAGTCATTAATCAACTCATTGAAGGAGAGTTGCAGAACAATACACTCAAAGGCTCAACTGCCTCATGGGTTCTGAAGGCGTAGGATTTAGGCTCAAGGTTCCAGATCTTCAAGCCTTCGAAAGTTCATGGCGTGACTCCGAAAGAGGCCAAATCCCAAAGTGCCGAACTGGCAGAGGTAGGTGACATACATCAACAGCTGAGTTCCCGGCTGCATGGCAAGTCCATGACCGTTCATGGCTGCTGATCACAGAAGAAATGGCTCTATCCTATCATACCAGGATTCCTCCACATCGGCCTGTACCGAACAGGCTGAATCCTGAACTCCGAATCTGACCACTCCGTGGCCCATAGTCCCTTCTGTGAATGCTGTGGCCATGATGGGAATGTTTCCGCCGTAAGTACCTGTCCATGTGAGCTCTTTCAGCGACCCAGCTCGGTTGCTTCATCTTCCAAGCCAAAAAGCTGCAAGCCCCGGCGTGCTCAAGAAGAACCCCGACCTCAATTCGGGCTCCAATTGTACTAAACAAATACTACCAGCACTAGTAAGACTTGATAGTACAAGTACTACTGATAACGATAACTAGTAGTAATGCATCCTCGAGTGTCTATTCCTGACCGAACGATCTTGAAGTGAGAGTTCTGCTTTCAGGGTCCAGCGTCTTGGGGTTTCCGAGTCTAAGCAATGCGGCTTTTAGGGTGGCAGGGCAATAGGCAAATAGGGTGATAGGGTACTAGGGTAATGGGCCTGAGATTGGGGATAAAGAGTTCGGATGCCTCGGTCTGCGGGCTTCTCTTCGATTAGAACGGCTTCATTGTAGGGGTTCTTTGCAGGGTCCGAGCTTCTCCAGAACCCTGAAAAACTGATGGACAAAGAATTACACACAGCCGCCAAACCAGCCTCCAGACACCTCCGAAACCCCAAACTCTTCTCAGGTGTATCCGACGGAAGGATTTTGGATTCGGGGTTGTAGGGATTTTAGGGTTCGGGGTTTAGGGCTTGAGGGTTTGAGGGATTAGAGCTGTGGTTTAGGGTATTGGTGTTCAGTACTGGGGAAGATGACACAGCAACAGCTTCGGCTTGGTACCGGGGCACATTGGAAGCATGCTGAAAATCAAAAGCTGGCTCCAAATCCCAAATCCTGATTCCTGAATCCCTTTGCTGCCCTAAGCCCCTGGGCCCAGCACGCCGCACTCCCGAAGTCTCACCGAAAACATCTGCAAAACAGTAAGGCCTCACAGAAGTATTGTGCAACCTTACAACACCCTAAACCCCCCAACCCTCAAGCAACAGCCCCAAACATTAAAACCTAAGCTGTCCGAGATTGTCCCAGGGCCTCTGTGCCAAGATTCCAAGCTGGCCAGGCTCCTTTCGAGGAACTTGGGGGATTTGCGTGTGGGGTTCAGAGCTTAGGGGGACTTTGGAAGTGGGTTTAAGAGCTCCACAAGGCGCTGGGGCTCGGGGAAGATAAGGCTGCCCAGCTTGTGGGCCACAGCCTGAGGGGGTTGCGGCTGAGGTTGCAGGGCAAAGGGCTCAAGGCGTAGAGTCTAGGCTCCCTTCCGTGCGGTAAAGCAAAGCTAGGTGACGTCATGACATGCCATGTCGTGTCAAGTCATGTTGTGCTCGGATGTGCTATGCGGGGTTACGTTGTGTCTATGGCGTCTCGTGTGTGCGTCGGCACATGTACATACTTGCATGCATGCATCCAGCCATACCTGGAGCTTACATGCATACCGAACAGACAGACAGACAGACAGACAGACAGACAGAAGACCGACCGACCGACCGGAAGGACGGACGGACAGGTCTGCACG